GAGCTTGAAATAATTTCTTTAAAAAATCCACGCCTATGTGGCTGAAAGAGCTTGAAATAATTTCTTTAAAAAATCCACGCCTATGTGGCTGAAAGAGCTTGAAATAATTTCTTTAAAAAATCCACGCCTATGTGGCTGAAAGAGCTTGAAATAATTTCTTTAAAAAATCCACGCCTATGTGGCTGAAAGAGCTTGAAATAATTTCTTTAAAAAATCCACGCCTATGTGGCTGAAAGAGCTTGAAATAATTTCTTTAAAAAATCCACGCCTATATGGCTGAAAGAGCTTGAAATAATTTCTTTAAAAAATCCACGCCTATGTGGCTGAAAGAGCTTGAAATAATTTCTTTAAAAAATCCACGCCTATGTGGCTGAAAGAGCTTGAAATAATTTCTTTAAAAAATCCACGCCTATGTGGCTGAAAGAGCTTGAAATAATTTCTTTAAAAAATCCACGCCTATGTGGCTGAAAGAGCTTGAAATAATTTCTTTAAAAAATCCACGCCTATGTGGCTGAAAGAGCTTGAAATAATTTCTTTAAAAAATCCACGCCTATGTGGCTGAAAGAGCTTGAAATAATTTCTTTAAAAAATCCACGCCTATGTGGCTGAAAGAGCTAGAAATAATTTCTTTAAAAAATCCACGCCTATGTGGCTGAAAGAGCTTGAAATAATTTCTTTAAAAAATCCACGCCTATGTGGCTGAAAGAGCTTGAAATAATTTCTTTAAAAAATCCACGCCTATGTGGCTGAAAGAGCTTGAAATAATTTCTTTAAAAAATCCACGCCTATGTGGCTGAAAGAGCTTGAAATAATTTCTTTAAAAAATCCACGCCTATGTGGCTGAAAGAGATTGAAATAATTTCTTTAAAAAATCCACGCCTATGTGGCTGAAAGAGCTTGAAATAATTTCTTTAAGAAATCCACGGCAACAACCATACCTTTATTGACCCACTACTTTTTAAAGAGTCTAGCCTTGCTATTAAATTTCTACTATTTATCGTCGCAAAAATTCCATTTCATAAATGAATTTGAGTCAAGTGAGTCCAGTCCATACAGTATGTCTTCGCATGTCAAATGTCATTTGTCCAGTGCTTATGCAATCGCTTTCAAAAAGGTGTACACTGGAACTGCTTTATGTCAACATGATTATATCGATACAGTAAACAGCTCGTTTTATTTACTCGAAAAACTTTTCCAAAACTTATCAAAAATAGCAAATCAAAATCATTGCTGGTATAAAAAGGAGAACTCATCCATTCCGCAAAATAATAAAAGTAATTAACTTTGTGTGTGTTAAATCGTTCGCAATTCAAGGAGTGGAAAAAAGTGAAATCCTGAAAGAAAATTGTGAAAAGTGTTGAAGTGAAATTCTTAAAGTGATAATGGATTGGTCGGTTAAGGAAAACAATTTGAGTCGTTATAACAATAAAAAGTTAAGCGAAAGTAAAGTTATAAGTATGTTTGTATAAATGTGTTTTTGGTGGAAGAATTCTATTGAAATTCGTGTTATTATTTAAGATTATGACCAACCTCCACCCAATTATTCCAGTGATGAGGATAATATTTGCACCAAGGAGGCTGTCAAAAGGAATATCAAAGATTATTTGGAAAATACAACTCTACATGGTTTGAAATATATTGCTGAAGATAAAATTACCATATCGGAAAGGTTGGATAAATCAGACAGGATCTGTTCCAATTGTATTCATTTTTTTCCAATCTTATTTTATTTTTCCATTACAAAAATATATGCTGTCTTCTAAGAGTTTTCTTTGGCTTGGCCTTTGTTTGTGTGGTTATTGTATCGGGATTTTTCATATCCAATGTATATGTAAAGTGGTCGGCTACACCCATAATTATATCGACTAGCTCAAAGCAGACCCTAAGCACTGAGGTACCATTTCCTGCAATAACCATATGTAATCTGAATCAGGCTCAGAAGAGTAAAGTACAAAATATTCCAAAGTGAGGAATTTTAAAAGAAAATTATAAGAACTAATTAAGTGACCTGGTAAATATTTTTTAGGACCAGCTCAAATTTTTCATTGCTAATGAGTTTGTGCGATCAAGAGGCTAACGATGTGGTGATGACATATTTGGGATTTTGGAAATATTTTAAAGCCATTTTAATTGAGGTACGCAGTTGATCTAAATATATTTTTAGTCAATCGAAGTAATATATATCTTATAGGTGGCTCAACCTTGTGACCGCATGCTTCTATTTTGTAGCTTTGGTTCTCTCGTTGAAAATTGTTCTAATATTTTCGATTCCGTATTAACGGATGATGGATTGTGTTGCACATTTAATGCATTGGATTCGAAATTTTTACTGCTAAATTACAGGTAAGAAAAATTATAAAAAAATCTACGCTTAGATGGTGCTCGAAAAAATATTCTTTAAAAAATCTACGCTTAGATGGTGCTCGAAAAAATATTCTTTAAAAAATCTACGCTTAGATGGTGCTCGAAAAAATATTCTTTAAAAAATCTACGCTTAGCTCGAAAAAATATTCTTTAAAAAATCTACGCTTAGCTCGAAAAAATATTCTTTAAAAAATCTACGCTTAGCTCGAAAAAATATTCTTTAAAAAATCTACGCTTAGATGGTGCTCGAAAAAATATTCTTTAAAAAATCTACGCTTAGATGGTGCTCGAAAAAATATTCTTTAAAAAATCTACGCTTAGATGGTGCTCGAAAAAATATTCTTTAAAAAATCTACGCTTAGCTCGAAAAAATATTCTTTAAAAAATCTACGCTTAGCTCGAAAAAATATTCTTTAAAAAATCTACGCTTAGCTCGAAAAAATATTCTTTAAAAAATCTACGCTTAGCTCGAAAAAATATTCTTTAAAAAATCTACGCTTAGCTCGAAAAAATATTCTTTAAAAAATCTACGCTTAGCTCGAAAAAATATTCTTTAAAAAATCTACGCTTAGCTCGAAAAAATATTCTTTAAAAAATCTACGCTTAGCTCGAAAAAATATTCTTTAAAAAATCTACGCTTAGCTCGAAAAAATATTCTTTAAAAAATCTACGCTTAGCTCGAAAAAATATTCTTTAAAAAAATCTACGCTTAGCTCGAAAAAATATTCTTTAAAAAATCTACGCTTAGCTCGAAAAAATATTCTTTAAAAAATCTACGCTTAGCTCGAAAAAATATTCTTTAAAAAATCTACGCTTAGCTCGAAAAAATATTCTTTAAAAAATCTACGCTTAGCTCGAAAAAATATTCTTTAAAAAATCTACGCTTAGCTCGAAAAAATATTCTTTAAAAAATCTACGCTTAGCTCGAAAAAATATTCTTTAAAAAATCTACGCTTAGCTCGAAAAAATATTCTTTAAAAAATCTACGCTTAGCTCGAAAAAATATTCTTTAAAAAATCTACGCTTAGCTCGAAAAAATATTCTTTAAAAAATCTACGCTTAGATGGTGCTCGAAAAAATATTCTTTAAAACACGCCTCAAAAATGCCTCGAAAAAATATTCTTTAAAACATCTACGCTTAGATGGTGCTCGAAAAAATATTCTTTAAAAAATCTACGCTTAGATGGTGCTCGAAAAAAATATTCTTTAAAAAATCTACGCTTTAACAATCTACGCTTAGATGGTCCTGCAAAAAATATTCTTTAAACTCTGAAAGTCCTTCAAGAATATCATTTAAAAAATCTACGCTTTAAAAATCTACGCTTAGATAGTCCTGCAAAAAATATTCTTTAAACTCTGAAAGTCCTTCAAGAATATCATTTAAAAAATCTACGCTTAGATAGTCCTGCAAGAAATATTCCTTAAACTCTGAAAGTCCTTCAAGAATATCATTTAAAAAATCCACGACTATAACTCTGAAAGTCCTTCAAGAATATCATTTAAAAAATCCACGACTATAACTCTGAAAGTCCTTCAAGAATATCATTTAAAAAATCCACGACTATAACTCTGAAAGTCCTTCAAGAATATCATTTAAAAAATCCACGCCTATAACTCTGAAAGTCCTTCAAGAATATCATTTAAAAAATCCACGCCTATAACTCTGAAAGTCCTTCAAGAATATCATTTAAAAAATCCACGCCTATAACTCTGAATGGCCTTCAAGAATATCATTTAAAAAATCCACGCCTATAACTCTGAATGTCCTTCATGAATATCATTTAAAAAATCCACGCCTATAACTCGGAATGTCCTTCAAGAATATCATTTAAAAAATCCACGTCTATAACTCTGAATGTCCTTCATGAATATCATTTAAAAAATCCACGCCTATAACTCTGAATGTCCGTCAAGAATATCATTTAAAAAATCCACGCCTATAACTCTGAATGTGCTTCAAGAATATCATTTAAAAACTCCACGCCTATAACTCTGAAAGTCCTTCAAGAATATCATTTAAAAAATCCACGCCTATAACTCTGAAAGTCCATCAAGAATATCATTTAAAAAATCCATGCCTATAGCTGTGAAAGTCCTTCAAGAATATCATTTAAGAAATCCACGCCTATAACTCTGAAAGTCCTTCAAGAATATCATTTAAAAAATCCACGCCTATAACTCTGAAAGTCCTTCAAGAATATCATTTAAAAAATCCACGCCTATAACTCTGAAAGTCCATCAAGAATACCATTTAAGAAATCCACGCCTATAACTCTGAAAGCCCTTCAAGAATATCATTTAAAAAATCCACGCCTATAACTCTGAAAGTCCTCGAAAAACATTATTTAAAAAATCCATGCCTATAGCTGTGAAAGTCCTCGAAAAATATTCTTTAAAAATCCACGCCTATAGCTGTGAAAGTCCTCGAAAAAATATTCTTTAAAAAATCCATGCCTATAACTCTGAAAGTCCTCGAAAAATATTATTTAAAAAATCCATGCCTATAGCTGTGAAAGTCCTAGAAAAATATTCTTTAAAATCCACGCCTATAGCTTTGAAAGTCCTCGAAAAAATATTCTTTAAAAAATCCACGCCTATAGCTGTGAAAGTCCTCGAAAAAAATATTCTTTAAAAATCCACGCCTATAGCAGTGAAAGTCCACGAAAAAATATTATTTAAAAAATCCACGCCTATAGCTGTGAAAGTCCTCGTAAAAATATTCTTTAAAAAATCCACGCCTATAGCTCAGAAAGTTCTGCAAATATTTGGCTTTCCTAATAAAATCTGTTTCGTTTTATAGTGAAGAAAACTCTCTCATACCGAATTCGGATAGTCATTATGTAGCCATTGATTGGACCCCGGATAAGGGTTATCCAAAGGATTTGCCTTTACATTACTATCCAAGAGTTTCAGGTGGAACTGGTAGCAGAATGGGTCTCACAGTTGTATTGAATGTATCATCGAGTGAATATTATTGCAGTAAAACGAAGTGTGTGGGTTTTAAGGTAATTCTCACCGAAGTTAATTTTACTAAAAATTTAATTTGTCCTAATTCCTACCATTTACAGGTCTTGGTGCACAATCCTGCTGAATTACCAAAAATCAGCAATTATGGATTCCTGATGACGGCAGGTCGTGAGGCTCGCATACCCATTGAACCCATCTATCAGGATGCTGTGGATAGCATTCGATACATTAAAAAATCTGTACGTCGCTGTTTATTCTCGGACGAAGGAGATTTGGTTTACTATCGCACCTATTCTCGAAAGAATTGTGAATTGGAATGTGAAGCTAAAATTTTGATGAAGAAATGTTCATGTGTTTTGTATTATTTACCACGTATTGATCCGACGGTACCGATTTGTGGACCAAATGATAATCGTTGTACAACTCAGGTACAATCGGAGATTGAATCATCGAACAAAAGTGCTTCGTGTGATTCTTGTTTGCCGGGATGTTTTGAATTGAATTATCGAACGACATTGACATCGTCCTCAATGGTTTTGGGTGATTTTCGTACTTCAGATGATTTTCCGCCGGGTATTTTTACGCCAGATACAAAAATTAGCGATTTGTCGATAATGCATTTCTATTATTTGTCGAATACATTTCGTGGCACAACAAAATCGGAAATGTTTGGTTTTACGGAGTTTTTGTGTAGGGAAGAAAATAAATTAACATATTTCAGAATATTAACCCCTTTTTCTAATTGCAGCCAATACTGGTGGTCTATTGGGTCTCTTTATGGGTTTTAGTATATTTTCCATAATTGAAATTGTTTATTATATTACGGTGCGACCCTATTGTGCTGCCCGTTCTATTGAATTGGAAAAGAGGCGTAGACAAAATGAAATAAAGGTAATTGTCTGCTTATTTTGGATGTTAATAATATAAAAAAGGGATATTATTATTTACAGTGGCTCACAAAGGATTCATATAAAATGGATGTTTCTGCAACTGATTTGAAAAAGAAAAACTGGGTGAAACGCGTTCGTAAAACTCATCGAAAATATCAGAAAAACTTACGTAATATGTTTACAAAGTCACGTAGCATACCTAATGCAGATGGACAGGTTTATCCTTATATTGAATAATTTGAATATTTTATAAACATTTCACTTTCAAAATTACGAGTTATTTAAAAAATAAATACACACATGCATACTTGCTTATATCATTTTTCTTTGGGATAGATTGTTATGTTGACGGTTCATCTTACATAGCACTATGTGATCGGTGAAAAGTATCGGCATAGATTTCAGATAAATATACCATCTAGGCCATGAGAATGTTTCGGACATTTTCTATAATAATGTCTCGGAATATTGATATGGGAATGTGCGATAGTATATAAGATGGAGATAATAATTTTAAGTTTATTTACCCAAGTTCGGGTTTCTTTCTGTTCGCCTTTTTTTGTGATAGAGTTTCTGTCCCATATAACGATACCTCGAATATGGGGTATTTTCGTAATTTTGCCTCATAACTAATAAGATTACATATACTTTGTTATAACAACAAGAAAAAAGTATCAGGCGGTGTTGCCGACAGATATATACACTCAGCTTGTGATTTGCGGAGTTCTACTGAATAAAAGACCTATATACCTCAGCTCAGAATTTAATGTTGGTTTGGAAAAATATTTCGATTGCAAAGTATGGATCAAATCTGATATTCCGCTATCTTTATATTGAATTAGCTAATTTTCAAAATTTTGACACTATGTGGGGATGATGCCAGAACGAGTGGACCAGCGGGTCCCATACATAGATCAAGTAGGTATGAGGTTCTAGAAGATGTGAGTCCCAACTTTAATTAAGTTTGTAAGAAATATTACGATGTACATATTTGGCACCATATCGAACATTCCATACTAGTTTTATTGAATTAACAAATGTTTAAAATAATGGGATAAGTACCAGAAGGAGCGAACTGATGGAGTCACATATTTGGATTCGATCTATGCTACGTAAACTTTTTAGGATATGGAACATGTTAAAAAGTTACATATACCGACAATTGTACGAAGCGATTTTTGTAAGCCATAATACACATTAAATGCAAATTTCAGCAATTTTTAATGGGTATTTTTCCTGAAATCTCAAAACCCCCAATCTTGGTCCGATATTGATAACGCATGGTACTAACTTCAGTACCTTTTGTGCACAGCGGCCATATTTTTGGGTTCTTCAAACTCGGACGAAAGTATATACATTAAATATATATATGGGAGCTGTATCCAAATCTGAAACGATTTCAACGAAATTTTGACAGACGTATGATGTTCAAAATTTTGTGCCTATCGGCCATATTTTGGGTCTTTGGTTCATAATTCGTTTAAAATCGGACGAAAATATATATGGAGCTATATATAAATCTGAAACGATTAGTTTATACTAACATCAGTACTTTGTGCAAAATTTTGTGTCAATTGGCCATATTTTGGAGCTTTGGTGCACCGTTTACCTAAAATCGACCGAAACTATATGGGAGCTATATCCAAATCTGAACCGATTTCAACAAAACTTGACACACGTTATGTTATAACAACTTCAGTACGTTGTGCAAAATTTTGTGTAAATCGGCCATATTTTGAAAATCGTACGAAACTATATATGGGAGCTATATCTAAATCTGAACCGATTTCAGTGAAACTTTTCACACATTAGGTTTTACTAACTTAAGAACGTTGTGCAAAATTTTTTACAAAAAATCGGTCAAACTATATATGGGAGCTATATCTAAATCTGAACCGATTTTTCCATTTCAATAGGGACATGCATATATCGACTCAGAAATTGATTCTATGCTTATTCTCAGAAGGAACCATGCGTCTATCTCGATTTCTTTTGCGTGTTACAAACATATGCATAAAGACATAATACCCTGTACCATAGTGTGGTGAAGGATTTACAAATATTAAAATACCATATGCGACTATAAAATACCAAATTACAAGACTCCCTGGGGGAATATTGTAATTTGGGGGCTACCCGAAAGAATTGACCGGTCAAAAAATACGCTCTAAAACCCCAAAATACTGAAAATTGGCGGTGCTGTTATATGGGAGCTATCAGAAAAAGTTAACCGATTTTTATAATTTTTTGTGAAGAAATTTGGTAACAAAAAAGAAACCATTGTACCAAATTTCAGGGGGACAACCTTATATAGGGGTTATGCCTAAACGTGGACCGATATAGCTTATCTTCAAACTTGACCTACTTGCAGACAAAAGACAACTCTGTGCAACATTTTAGCTTTCTATCCGTAGAATTTGACGCTGATCAAGTATATATACATTATAGGTTCGGAAATGATTATTTCGATGACTTACAAACGGAAAAGCAAAATTAATATACCCTCCATACTATGGTGGGGGTATAAAAAAGGAACTACTCTATAGATGGCCAATGCTCGAAGCAAAACATATCGACCACCTTTTACATAAAGCTCTATTTTCAATTTCGTACTCCGTATTTCTAATTTACATAAAAAATTTAGAAACAAAGAGCATTGTCTATTTAAAATGCTACTTAAAGACTTTCTGAGCATTTTAGGAGTTATTTACTTGGGAGATGAATTTCTAATATATAAAATCCGTATAGACTTCGATCCGTTAAAGAAGTAACCCTAGAAACTGGACTCTAGATCAGGCATGCTTACCCATATACGCTACCGTAACTGAGGGTCGATTGGTAAATACATTTTCTCTTTCTTTCTCTTTAGGTCAGTCGTTTTTAATGGTGAATTCTCAGTTATGCTCGCTAACACTTGCACTCAATTTAATTTTGCCCAACATTGCTCTAGATAGATTCAGCGTCCATAGTTCTTAGAATAATTTTGGTGTGATATAAATTTCGTTGATTGATTGTCTTATTCCTTAAGATGATCTTATAATCGTAGCGTTATAACGCGATTTTGTTTAGCTATGTTTAATAATATATTGGGGTAGGCTATTATTTTGAAAAGGAAAAATCACAATTTCGACATAAACTTAGACGATAACACATTACAACATTACATACGGATATTTTCATAATTCATTCATTGATTTCGCAAAAACTTCATCTTTATTGATCATCAATCTCCCGTTGATACAATAATTCCATTCATTACTCATTGAATGGCCAAAGATTACTTTACGAGAAGTAAAAAACGATCTCAATTTTGACATGTGTTGGTAACACCATTACAATGTATATGTTGTCTGAATGAAATTATGTTAACCAAATAGTGGTTTTTCTAATTTTAATCGTTCACATCGCTTACATTGAGCAACCAAAGTGAGAAATGAAGTGGTTACGGAAATAGGCAGTTTGCCACACTTTGGGGCAAATCCTAATATAAACAAATGTGGTCGATCACATGCTGCGTTTGAATATTTAAACCAGAAAAATATATACACCGAATACCCGGTGTAGGTATGTATGCACTTTATGTTATTTTTTGAATGAGGTGATTGAATTTTGTACTAAATACCGCCTTTTGTGTTCATAGTATTCCAAATTTGTCTTGAGTTTATGTTCTTATGAAACCAAATGTAAATTATGTTAATGTAAATATTTATGGTGTAACGAAAAAGAAATTCAATGAAGTGGGTGGAAAATACAAACATGTAATGCAAATAAATATTATGTTACTACATACATATTTTTATTTACATGATTTTTATGTACATATGGGGAAATTTGTAATAATAAAAAATAATACTTACAACATTTTTTTATTGGATTTCAGTGGCCAAAAATATGTGGCCATATATAGACGAGCTGAAGCAGGGAGTCTTTATAGACGAGCTGAAGCAGGGAGTCTTTATAGACGAGCTGAAGCAGGGAGTCTTTATAGACGAGCTAAAGCAGGGAGTCTTTATAGACGAGCTGAAGCAGGGAGTCTTTATAGACGAGCTGAAGCAGGGAGTCTTTATAGACGAGCTGAAGCAGGGAGTATTTATAGACGAGCTAAAGCAGGGAGTCTTTATAGACGAGCTGAAGCAGGGAGTCTTTATAGACGAGCTGAAGCAGGGAGTCTTTATAGACGAGCTGAAGCAGGGAGTCTTTATAGACGAGCTGAAGCAGGGAGTCTTTATAGACGAGCTGAAGCAGGGAGTCTTTATAGACGAGCTGAAGCAGGGAGTCTTTATAGACGAGCTGAAGCAGGGAGTCTTTATAGACGAGCTGAAGCAGGGAGTCTTTATAGACGAGCTGAAGCAGGGAGTCTTTATAGACTAGCTAAAGCAGGGAGTCTTTATAGACGAGCTAAAGCAGGGAGTCTTTATAGACGAGCTAAAGCAGGGAGTCTTTATAGACGAGCTAAAGCAGGGAGTCTTTATAGACGAGCTGAAGCAGGGAGTCTTTATAGACGAGCTGAAGCAGGGAGTCTTTATAGACGAGCTGAAGCAGGGAGTCTTTATAGACGAGCTGAAGCAGGGAGTCTTTATAGACGAGCTGAAGCAGGGAGTCTTTATAGACGAGCTGAAGCAGGGAGTCTTTATAGACGAGCTGAAGCAGGGAGTCTTTATAGACGAGCTGAAGCAGGGAGTCTTTATAGACGAGCTAAAGCAGGGAGTCTTTATAGACGAGCTAAAGCAGGGAGTCTTTATAGACGAGCTAAAGCAGGGAGTCTTTATAGACGAGCTAAAGCAGGGAGTCTTTATAGACGAGCTAAAGCAGGGAGTCTTTATAGACGAGCTAAAGCAGGGAGTCTTTATAGACGAGCTAAAGCAGGGAGTCTTTATAGACGAGCTAAAGCAGGGAGTCTTTATAGACGAGCTAAAGCAGGGAGTCTTTATAGACGAGCTAAAGCAGGGAGTCTTTATAGACGAGCTAAAGCAGGGAGTCTTTATAGACGAGCTAAAGCAGGGAGTCTTTATAGACGAGCTAAAGCAGGGAGTCTTTATAGACGAGCTAAAGCAGGGAGTCTTTATAGACGAGCTAAAGCAGGGAGTCTTTATAGACGAGCTAAAGCAGGGAGTCTTTATAGACGAGCTAAAGCAGGGAGTCTTTATAGACGAGCTAAAGCAGGGAGTCTTTATAGACGAGCTAAAGCAGGGAGTCTTTATAGACGAGCTGAAGCAGGGAGTCTTTATAGACGAGCT